TATTAACAGAATACACATGAATGCAGAACACATGTAACATAATAGATGGCATGTAAAAAGCAAAGGTACAGGAACAATCAGGCAACAAGTGATCCAAACACAATTGGAGGACAAAACTAGATGATAGCTCATTATTTTATTAACCGTATATGAGTGTTTCAAAAACATGGCCTTCAGTAGTTTCTAAAAACACACACACCAAAAAAAAAACAACAACAAAAAATAGTTATCATGCGGCAGTGTCTGCAAGTCTTTAAATGCCCTTAAACCAGCTATTTGGTTTAATTTAACAATGCAAAAGTCTGTAACACTGCAATACTAATAAAAAACAACTACTGCACAAAATGCTTGCAAGAGGAAAATCACCTGAGCTTTGACACCAAGCAAAATTGGTTTAGAATGTGCCCTACAGTACTTCAAACAAGCATTTCAAGTACTCCCCAATATTATTTTCATTTATTTGTGATCTCTTCATGCTGACATGGGATGGTGGATATAAAGGGACACTTGCAAAATGGCAATTTATCTACTCAGATGGACCCACAAATAATGTGAATTAGGTGACCCAAGCTATTAGGCATTCCCTTCTTACATTTAGTACATGAATATATCATTATCCATTTTTCACTTTAAACCCCCCCCAAAACAAAAACAAATAATCAGCAGATGAACAGTGACCCCAGTAGGCAATGTGGCTTCAACAAAAAAAGAAACAAAGACATTAACCCTTCCACTGGCCTCCTCCTTAGCATCCCCGCATCTTACTCCTCCAGCTTAAAGGATGCATGGACTGCAGGACTCATACCGTAACTGCTCACTTTAGAGTTACGATAATCATTTACGTCCAGCAACCAGACAGGAGGAGAGAAGAGGAGGGGACGTTTAAGGATCCTGCACCAAAACTCTCTCTCTAGATGTTTAAATTATGCTAACAGAATTGTTCCAAATCTTGACATTTTGAGAGCCAAAAGTGAAGGGTTAAGTGGTGAAACTTTAGAGGATGACACAAGGAGGCTGGCTCTTGGTGATCTTCTCCACCGGCTGGCCATCATAGGCTCTTTGGATAGCATCCATAATCTTGTGGATGGGATAAAAGAGAGATGTACACATACATTTGAAAAAATCATCAACTTTTTATAGGTGAAATGTTATACAGCCTGTCTAGTGCTGAGATATTTACTCACATCTTCCTCATAAGGAAAGCCACTGGTTTCCAGCTTTGAGAAAATCAGTTGTCCATTGATCTCGATCTCAAAGGTCCCTGGAAAAGAGAAACAGAGGAGCTGATGATGTTTGCTTACATTCATATTTTTGCATAAGATGTATATCATCACATGGACATAAATGTGCAACGTACCTTGGCGGCCGACAAAGCCACTCACATCCGCATCAGTGAACTCAGCAGTGATGACCTGCTTGAGCTCCTGAAAGCGGGGCTCGTACCCTCATCCGCCACTGCAACACAACAGTGAAGAGCAGATGTAAGCCTACAGTAATTATGCCTTCCAACAAACGTTTGGTTCCAGGAAAACAGACAATGAGTGGTAACTAGTGTACGAGTTTATATCTTGACAATGAATCAGAAGACTAGAACTATGGAAGCCAGTGTCTGCCACAGAATAATAAAAAAATAAAAAAAATAAATAAAATGTAGTTACGCCATTATCTCACATTTCTCGCAATTCTGAGAAATGGGTCATAAATTCAGATAAAGTTAATTGCAATTCTGACTTTTTTTCCTTAGAATTTTGGGTTTACATCTCACAATTCTGTTTTTTGATTCCACTATGGAATAAAAAAAATAAAGGAAATTGCAACTTTTTTACTTCTAAGTTTACATCTCCCAATTCTGAGAGTGGATCTTTTCCAAAAAACGTTTGGTTCCAGGAAAACAGACAATGGGTGGTAACTAGTGTACGAGTTTATATCTTGACAATGAATCAGAAGACTAGAACTATGGAAGCCAGTGTCTGCCACAGAATAATAAAAAAAAAAAAAAATGTAGTTACGCCATTATCTCACATTTCTCGCAATTCTGATAAATGGGTCATAAATTCAGATAAAGTTAATTGCAATTCTGACTTTTTTTCCTTAGAATTTTGGGTTTACATCTCACAATTCTGTTTTTTGATTCCACTATGGAATAAAAAAAATAAAGGAAATTGCAACTTTTTTACTTCTAAGTTTACATCTCCCAATTCTGAGAGTGGATCTTGCAATTTTGACTCACTTTCTCAGAATTTACACAAAAAAAAGGCAGAATTGTTGAGATAAAAAGTCGCAATTACCTTTATTTATTTATTTTTATTCCATGGTGGAAATGGCCTTCCACATAGAACATTGTAATCTTTATGAGAGGGGAAAAAAAACTCAGATCTGAAAGAGTCTGAATACCATAACTATTACTGTGATCACTAATTGGAGACAGTAATCTAGCTCATACCATTGCACATAACTTTCCTCACAGTTCAGTTGTGCGACATATCTCTTTGCTATACGCCCTGTGTTGTGAACCAAGGGTCAAACATATAAAAGACATTGGATTTTCTTCAAAAATTTAAATACAATCTTTTTTTTTCTTTCAAAATATATGTCTATATATGACAAATTAATAATCTGTTACGCACTAAAGAAGCTAATGTTTGTCCAAATCAATATTTGGGTTCTTGGGTTGCTTTAGAGTCTGGATGGTGGTCCATTATTCTGTATAGGTTGAAAACCCCTTTCCTAAGGGATATACAGAACTATCACTGCAGTCGAACTGCTAAAATCCCACAGTTAGATGGATCATCTCGAGCCTCAGAGGTATCAGCTCTGATCTGTAAACCACTTCTCTATCAAACCCGTTTACGAGACACGTCGGGCATTTTGGAGAATAGCACGTATTAAAACATGATGTATGATAAATTAGTGCATGACATTTATTCATAAATACATAATAAGCAGGACGAGATAATGAAGAGGGTTACAAAGATAGCAGAGCTAGCAAGCATGAGCTGGTTAATCTACCATATTCCCGAAGACATTTTACCCGAGTAGAGAAAACATTTGTAAATTACATAATATTTCGGATAATTTACAGATTTACCTGTTGTAAAATCACTCACCAGTATTCAACTTTTATTTGCACACCCATATCTATCCAGCTGCGTCACCGCTTGCTTTACGCTAACGTTACTGTGCTTCCGCGTGTCTCTGACCGATCTTGTAGGAAACTAAACCTCTAGCGCCCTCTATCCGCTGGAAGAGGCATTTGACAACAAAAGAGCAGCGCAACAGCCTCAGAAACTTGTCGTTGAAAAGCCACACGATGGCAGCAGCCATTAACCCATTTCATTCCAAATTCTTCTGCGCGTGAGCCCATGTATTTTACTTCTAGGATAGCAACATGTAACTGTGTGCCTTTTATGAGAAAGACTTAAAAAAAATAATTGAAATTGTTTTATTCCTGGTCTCTCTACTATAATAAGTGGTAATCCAGAAAGTCAAAATACTCAGTAGCCTATTAAAAATCCATCCATCCAATGGGGGCTAGAGTCTATCCCAGTGTCTGGGGCCACAGGCGGGGGACACCCTGAGCAGATGGCCTATGCTGCATGTGGTTGGATTGTGGGGGAAATCGGAGCACCCAGATGAAACCCACGAAGACACAAGGAGAACATGCAAACTCCACACAAAAAGCTGGGACGCAAACCAGGGACCTTCTTGCTGTGAGGTGACAGTGCTACCGAATTAGCCACTGTGCTCACCCCCATAGAAAATCTTGTATGTATGTATGTATGTATGTATTTAAAATGATTTAAATATATATATATTTTTTACTTTCATTTAATTTAACAATTTTAGGTTATACTTTATAATACAGTCATATTTTTACAGTGCAGTTGTACATTTAAGTGCGGAGTAATATTAATTAACAACATGTACTTACTATAGGATTAGGGTTTGGTTTAGGACCAGCTGCATGTAAATATGCATAGTTACTGTTATAACTATAGTAAGTACATGTAACGTGTAACACGAACACTGTAAAATTAAGTGTTACCCGATTTTATAATGTGGATCAATCAGTTACTTACAATTAATTATTATTTACTGGTGGGATTAAATAAATTAACTAACCGTGTCAGTGATATTTACATTATAGTAATTTTTAAATGTCAGTGAGTATAGGCAGTTTGAATTTAATTGTCAAATTACTTAATTATTTCTACTTGCCTTATTAATTTAATTCTGACAAGTCAGCTCATTTAAAAAATATAGCAAACTGAAGCACACTCTAGTACAACATACTCATTTAAACAACGGCCCTGCTTATAACACATAAAAAATAATGCAGGACATCCAAAACATCCATGATGGGGCAAAGACATCAAGAGAATATTGTCATGAGCGTGTGGTGTGTAATCAGGCAGGACGAAGAACTCCAATAATCACTTTAATTAATCCACAATAGGTAATCCAGACAGGTCAGGAACGAACACACGCACACACACAATACTCGACAAAACAGAACTGAACAGGCTTGACTTAAGTACAGACACAAATGAGGATAATTAATCGAACTCAGGTGAACGGAATGACACAATCAGACACAAGGAGAAATTAAGGTCACACTAAGCACATAGGGAATGAAAACCCAACAAGACAGTTCTGTGGTGTGACAAATATATGATAGCATGAGATCTCAAATGTGCACCAATCATTTGCTCCATCACTGCCTGTGTAAAAGAAAGAAAGAAAGAAAAAAACAAAACAACAAACAAGCTAAAGCTTTTGTTAAACTGGGCCCTGATTGTTGTTAAGATTGAACAGGACTCGCTTCTACCGATGACTCACTCCTGAAGTCATTTTCACAGAATAGTGCACTGATTTGCTGTGCCATTTGTCATTAAGGGCCAGGTGGGTTTCAAATGAGACAGTGATTTGGAGCCGCATTACACCATTATGGGCTCATTATGATGATGTCATACAGGACTCACGACTGACACCACACCGCAATGGTTTTCGACAGGCCAAGTGAAAAGTTTGAGAGAGTGAGAAGTGGCACAGATGTGTCATATTTTGAGCTTCTTTTTTTTTTCTAGCTTCCAACTTTTCTCCTGCATTTATCTTATGATAAAAAAAGAAATGGTCAGGTATGTCCAAATAATAAGAGATGATATTGCACATATGAGAAATAAAGATGGAAGAACAAAATCTACACTCTCAGAAAAAATGGCAAAAATTGTACCTTTGGGGTACAACAGCTTGTCACCGGGCCATTACTGTTAAAGGGACATCTGTACTGTATTTACTCCTGAAAGGATTAAACTCTTTTTTTTAGTAAGTTTATTTTGATTGTTTTAATTTAAAAAATATTTATATATAGGACTGCACGTATTATACATTACTGTTTAGACTTTTACTATAAAAATGAAGATATTACTGGTGTCCAGTAAAATAAAAAATGAGTATTTGATAATTATAGGTCTAATAATTATTTTTAAATTCATAAATTCTTCACTTTCAAACGTTCATCTTTTATTTTGGCCGAATACTGGTGAATTGCTATTAACTTCTATATACAGAAATGCTGGAAATTGTGTGAATGTGTAAACAAAGTGAACCTAAAGTAAAATGGCAGCCTTTGATAGATTAGATAAATGTCCAGCCACATTCATTTATTTTAATCTTACATTCGATTTAATTATTAGCTTTTCATCAGTTCACGAACCCCCTGCAGTTCCCTTACAAACCCCCATTTGGGAAACATTGCTCTAAGATAGGAATATGCACCTTTTAGGGGTAAATAAGGTACAAACTTGTGCCTTTAGGGGTACTGCCACAGTTACTAGCTGTTTAATTTTTGCACTTTTTTTTTCAGACAGTGTAATGTCACAAATGCAGAAACCAAAGTTGCCATTACAATATAAACACTTTTCATACAATATTCCATAATATATAATATACCATAATTAGTGTTAAGGAGAAGCCAGGAACAGATAATATTTCCCATTCTTCATTTATTTCACATTGCAAAATCAGTTTTGCATCTCTAGTGGCTTATTACTTGGTTTCTCTCAGCTTGAGGCCCGTGGAAGTCAGATTATCTATTGGCCTGAGCCATAATCTTTTCCTGCGTGAATGTGTGAAGACTTATGAAGGTGTGTGGGATGGGAGATGGGCAATCAGTCGTCAACTCTCAGCAGCTTCCCTTCTCTCACATTCATACACTAGCCCTCATGGCTCATCAGTGCAGATATTCTCTCACTCTCTTTCAATCTCTCCATCCAGCAGAGAAGAAGGGAAGATGATTCCAGCCCACATCTATCTCCATTAGTGTAATGGTGTAAAGCAGCTTAGACAACTACACCGCTCTGCAGCCTATCTGACAGGATCACATTTCTCTCACCACTGTTTTTCCAGGTGGAGCGAGAGAAGTAGGGAGGGAGGGAGAGAACGAGGGATGATTTAGACCCTGGCGAAAGAGAGTCATCCATCCTCAGCTTCCTGTCTGTGTGCCACAACCCACAGGGGAGGCCCATCTCAAAGGCCAGCTTCACTTAGAACTACTGAAATAGCGTGTTTGTGTCTCCTGCCCCATTTATGTACCTCTAAACCTGCTGGTTCGTCCTCTAGAGGGGCTTCACAAACGTAGACCCTTACTTTTCCCACCATCAGGAACCCTCTAGTCTGCACATAAGCCACCTGCAGCCTGTATGTTCCCAGCATGCTTTCCAGCGCCCATATGTTTCATCCTGCTAAACCTACCTAAAACTATGGGACCTGTTTTGTCTGGTTCCCAGGGGTCCCCCTTTCTGATCCCCAACTGGACAACCAGTCAACCTTTGCCCGGCTGTCCGGGCAAAGGTGAGGAAGCAATTATGGGTGGTTAGAGGTGGTGGGATGGCAGAGACTAGACCAGCTTTGTGTTTTTGAGTGACTCTGCATGAAGGCTGGATCACTGTTCAGGCCTCCGTAATCCCATCAGCAGTGTTTCAATTAAGGCTCGGCACTTTGAGCTCCAGTCAGTGATTTATAAATCAGAAAAATCAGTGAGTTTGTTTAATTATATGTTACATTGGTGATTCAGAAGGGCAAATGTCAAATTTAAATAGTTTGCAGTTAGTGTTCCCATGTGAATTGAATGACAACAGTGTTAGAGAAGCACTTTTTTCTCTCATTTTGATCTGATAATTGTCCTCTTTATTTATCGTCTCCAGGGGAAAATGTTAATGTCCTTCTCATTACATATGAAAATGATTATGAAATAGTTCAGATTAAATAAAAACAGGCCAGCATGTGTGTATTTAAAATGGCAGGGCAGCATAAAAACTCAGTTCTGTGAGTTGACAATAATTGTAACCAGGCATCATACGGGAATAATGTGGAAAACTCTTTAAACTCAGTTAACTGACTTTCTAATCATATCCTTTAATAGAGACAAAGCATGTAGAAGAATCAATGTATTTTTGCCACACACCTTTTAAAGGTGAAGTCTGTAATTTATGCGCCACTTGCAGCACAAAAAAAAGCAAAAATACTAGTTTCAATCATTCCTCTGTCTTCTATTGTTTGGTCGGGCCGCTCAAACAAACAGCTTTCACTGGCTGCTTTGTTTACAACATAATCCTCCTTATCCTGTGGCTGTGTTAAGATCATGTTCTTTATTGATGGCTGTTGTATACCTGAAGCACAGAGGAAAGATATAATGTTCAGTATGTATATACACTACATTTCAAATGTTTGGTCAGTATGATTTTTTTATGTTTTCGAAAGGAGCATCTTATACTCACGGTGGTGCAAGACTGCATATATTTTGCTTGAAAATGTAATGTATTCCTGTGATGCAAAGCTGAATTTTCAGCATCATTACTCCAGTCTTCAGTGTCACATGATCTTTCAGAAATCAATCTAATATGCTGATTTGATGCTCAAAAAAACATTTATTATTATTATCAATGATGAAAACAGTTGTGCTGTTTAATGATTTTTGTGGATTTTGTGATACATTTTTTTCAGAGACTGGCAATGTGTGGTATAGCATATAAACATACTACTTTTACTATTTTTGCAGTATATACTATATACTGTTCACAGTATGCAGTTTTTTCTGTATGCACGGAATATGCCAAAATTACGGTGGCCGAGAGAGCTCAACGCGCTGCAACTTCAGAAAACACATGCAAATATAAAAAGCACCAGCAAATTAAGAAAACATCTTCATCAGTTTGACAGCACATGTGCTGCAAATACTCGCAACACAGTCAAATACAAAAACGCGCTGCAAATGCTCACAACACAACCAAATAAAGAAACGCGCTGCAAATACTCACAACACAACCAAATAAAGAAACGCGCTGCAA